ATGCACAACATAAAGAATGGATCAAACCAGAGTGAGCCTCTTGAAACTAGTTCCTGAAAATTTGATAGGGCAATTTGCACATGGGAGCAATAAAAATTGATTTGCAGAGGAGATGCTTTATTGTTCTGAAAAATAAACCTGTAAAGTGCCTCTTGAACACATTCGCCAAATAGCTACGTACTCAGCGCTATCTATTGAGAGCCCTATGAAGCGATTAACGTTATCGTGATCGAACTTCCTCATCTGAATATAAGATAAATAAATAATAAATAATCAATAAATAAATAATTAACCGGTCGATTTGTAACTAGTAGTTTTTAATTTCTAAATATTGGACCACTGAAAATAATTAATCCAGCTGTAGTCAAGGTATTCAAGGTCTGAAGAAGGGTGTACCACACAAAAATATCGCGGAAGCTTCGGTGGAATTTCTTGACTTATTTTTTAGAATATTCGTAGTTGCGCTTTTTTGGATTTTTTTTTTGAAATATACCTTTTGGTACCTCTTTGAGTTGTACGACATATAGTTATCTCCCTGTTATTGTTCCAAATAGAGTATAGGCCGACATCTGACAAGGGAAGGATACCAGGTCGAAGTGGCCATTTGTAACGAGACATACACCACTAGATGTGTTTTTGGACGCTTATCTCAAATCTGCTCTCCAAATCTGCGAAACGACTCTTTGAACGTAGTTATGAAGCGAGATAGTGCAGTGGCAGCGGTGCGGCTCAACGAACGAGAGGTCGTGAGTTCGAGTTCTTGGCGAGTTCTCACTTTTGCTTTTCTTGTGAACGTTGTTTAAGGGACTCTTATCCATGCTAAGTTATCAGCGATTGCCTATAGCACAAGTAAACAGAGCTGGCGAAGAGCTTCGAGCACTGTGCGCGTCATTTGCAAGTGACCGCCTCTGACACCCGTAGCGCACGCGTAAGGCAATTTCGTGCCAAGCAGATGCGATATTCGTGTTCAGCGCGTCGAAACACCCCTTTCAACAACATTTGGTCCAAATCTAAAATTTTGACTTGAAGTCGAAAATGTGGGCAGTCATCTATCCATCAACCCACTGTCAGAGCCTGATCGTGGGATTGAATTAAACTTTCAGTCATTATTGTGAAAGAGATATAGTTGCCTGCTCTACTTGCTCGTGCCATCCGAAGATTTATATGATATTTTTTCATGTACACGCTCGCTGCCCAGGAGGAGCAGGAGGGTAGTGGCTGGGGCTAGGGATAGCACCTACGACTCAACCTACCGACTCATTGTAGACCGAGCTTTCGAAATTGGGTCCAAATGTCAGCTTTCTAGAATTAAGCCTTCAAAGATAGTTTGGTCCGTTGAGCAAGCATCTCCCATTTGTTTAGCCCATCGTCGGATATACGTCACTTCCGTGGCGTAGAAACACCCCACAGTGGTCGAAACATTACGAAAAAAGTGGAATGCGTTAAACAAACCCCTCTAAACATGCGTTAGCTTTGGACGCAGTGAAAATTTCAACACTGAATAATTTTTTTATATTTAAATTAGACCTAATTACAAAAAGCAAAAAATCCATGCCCAGCAAGATCCCATCCATGGTCTTACCACTGGAAGCCGCCAACACTACCACTCGGCCAAGCCGCCGCTGGAAGCCGAGCTCTGCCGGAGTCTCTTACAGTGGGCTTTCATTCGAAACAACCTCCGTAACACTTTTCAGAGAATCGTTTCGCAAATTTGGAGAGTGGATTCGAGATCAGCGTCCGAAAACACATCTCTGAGTATAGGTTTCATTACGGATGGCCACTTCGACTTGGTATCCTTCCCTTGTTAGAAGCAAGTCTGTTTGGGTAGGGAAGTGGTGGAAAGGCTTTGAGGGGCGTTTCTACCATATCCTCTAGCAAGCAGCGAACTGCATTCAGATTGCTTCTCAACCTCTTCACCACTAACCACCCCCCCCCAATGTGATAAACCACCTAGCCATCGCAACTACTGCTCCTGGGATGACATGATCATGATGGTAGGATGGTGCCTGTATCCCAGCACTTACTTGATATTGTTATTTTTCCTCAGCAATATCAAGGCACAGGGTCAGTTTAATCAAATGTGGAAAAAAGGTAGTTTGAGTGGATTTTCTAATTTTTTCCCTATTTTTTTCGCTCGTGTTTTAAGTACCCTGAAGTAACCGGAGTCGGTCTTGGAGATGGTGGTGGTAGTCTATCAAAAGCAGAGTTCACAACGAAAAGGCAGTCTGAGGCAGTCTATCAAAGAATAAGGTCGAAGTGGTCAGTGGTGCAGGGATGAGGAAAAGCCATGAGAAACGGTCTGAAAACTCGAAAAATGGGACCTCTTCTTGTCGAATTCGTGCATTTGATGGCAAGTCTCAATCGGTGCTGCAGCATCAACGCTAACGCCCGCTCTGCTGCCACCAGCTTACGTTAGACGCCGAGAGGTGGGACGTGTCGCGGCGAGAGCGTCCCGCGGGACGGGCCCTGCTAGGCTGGGGGCGCACTCTTCGCAGCGAAAGGGGCACTGTTTCACACTGTTAGGAAGCCTGCCTGCCTTCAACTAAATATAATTGCCCCTTCTTCGATCTTCCAACCTTATAGTGGAATCCCCGTAAAAAATTGTGAGCTACGGCGAAGTAATATTAAGGTCATGTCTCCTACTCTCTATCCTACTTTGCGACAAATAGCAACCATTTCTGAGCTCTGAGGATGCATACCTGTGGAAATCTGGAGTTGTCATCATCTGTCAATCCAGTTACAAGATATTTCGTAGTCAATACAGACTCGCCCTCCAAAAAGTAGATTTCGTAATCGCCGAAGTTTGTTTCTGTGAGTCTTGAGTCTCCCGTCACTGCCGATTTGCTCGACTGGAGCGAGCGTTTGCTTTGCTGTTGAAGTTCACGCTAAATATATGAAATTAATCACTTTCCAATATTGGGGGATTGCAACGTTCACATGAAAGACATCAAAAATGCCACTGAAGAATTTTTCTATTTTTATATGAAAGTTTTATTTTATAAATCTATTATTATAATATTTCATTAATTTTATTCATTTTTCTTCTGATACGTTTTCGTACCCGTTTCTATTTTTTTCACTTTTTGCTGCTTCTTAGTTCTTATGCGATAAAAACGTAGCTGCTAAATGCCAGGTGAAAAGTGTCAAAACAGGGTCCAAGAAAACACATTGTTAGAGATTATATGTTGAAACATTTGGTGGGGATTCGACTTAGTTGGTGATTTTGGCGGCGTAGCTTTGCATATGCTGGAAAATTATCATATCAAAAAAGGGTGAGTATTAATCTGGAAGCATCTATAGGTTTTTTTGGGTGCTGCATGGTTTACCAATATTTCAGAGCAGTACACTGAATTTTCCTACCGAAGTGGGCGGCTTTCTCAGTTGCATGTAAGGGATCTGCCATAGCAAACGCTGTCGTTCTTTCTCTTCCTCTCGGACCCTGAATAACTGAAGTTTTTCTTGATGCGATGCAGATAACCAGTGCTTTTTTAGTTTTCCATCAGTAAAACTCTACTTCCGGCGGATTATCTCAGTACTACTCAGATTAAGCCTTGGCTCCCTCTCTGTATATCCATACTTATAATGGTCAGACGAACTCACCTTAAGACGTAGATAATGAATAGCACCCCAGCGATGAGAAGAACTCCAATCAGTGCACCTCCAACTATAACGTATATACCGTTCTGCTCCCAGAATGGCTTCGGACAATCTGTTCCCGTGTAGCCGCATTTCGGTCGAGCAAGTGGTCTATCAAAAAAATTGTGGATTTCATAAAATATGATTTTATATGTTTAAAGCAACAGTTCCAGCAGGGTTTTTACCACACTAATGGTGTGGAACGATGCGCTAGCCCTAGTCAAGAACATAAGAAGTGTGACTGAACAAAAAACTCACCTTGGAAAGCCGCTAAAAGGGAGCTGAACGGCTTCGAAGTGGGCGTGGTTGGAAGTCGGCCGAGGGGATTGCAGCCGACTTCCAACCACGCCCACTTCGAAGCCGTTCAGCTCCCTTTCTAGCGGCTTTCCAAGGTGAGTTTTTTGTAACACTTCTTATGTTCTTGACTAGGGCTAGCATCGTTCCACACCATTAGTGTTGAAGGTAAAAACCCTGCTGAGACTGTTGCTTTGAAAAACTTACCGTTGGCCACCTCGCGTCGCCCAAAGGGTCGTCGCTTCGTTTGTATATCCCTTTGTCAGTACCTTAATCGCACGGCATTGCTGAGTGAGCAGGTGGATTTGAGTCTACGCAAGTGGTACTGTAAGTAACCTACTGCCTTCCCGTCAATCACGGTGAGATTTATAGCCGTCACTTGGTTGAAATTCGTATCGAGAACGTATACCGAAAACAATGGAACCCGCGTTCCATTTGAGTTGATTGTAACCAACCCAGTTAATCCTGAAAGGATATTTCATTCGCTATAGAACGCTTCAATAATAAGGCTGATTGAACTGATTGTTTGCTCAGGTAGCCGCAACCATTTTTTTGTAAACATAAGCAGCTGCATGAAAGAATTGTTCTTGTTAAAGGATAAAGGATAAAGCATTTGCCGTTGATCAATCCCTTTTTGGGATGCGGCACGCATTCTACTTCCATTTGTACATTCGTAGTGGCGTTTGAATGCGATGTGGCCTATACAATGACTTGCGGGGGCCAGCCGATGTACAAGTCAGTGTTTTTATCCTCCCAGACAAGTCTGGTACCAATTAACCGACCCCGGAGGGATGGAAGGCTTGGTTGGCCCGGGCGACTCACGACCCAGGATTTGATCCCCGGACCGCTCGCGTGGTAAGCGTGCCACTTGCCACTACACCACTTCCGCCCATTTAGTAGTATAGGAGCAATTTAGTAATTTTTTTCAGGCATTACAATCG